CCCCAAAACCCCAAAACCCCAAAACCCCAAAACCCCACTCTGATAAATTATTATTGAATAAAAGATGTTTTTGTTCTCCCTCAAGAATACTTACGAACGAGCTGATGCTTTTGAGCAAAAGAAGTACGCTCCTGGATTCCATTACAAGTATAACCAAGTCATTGATGAAATTGGCTTTGGGTCCTACCAGTACAAGATTATCGCAACTATTGCTCTAGTAAATGTTTCCCTAGGGATCTTCGCAGGGCTCCTGCCCTTCTTAATCCCACTCGTAAAATTAGAAATTGAGATGGAAACATTTGAAGTTGGGCTACTCATTTCAGCCCAAAGCTTCGGAAGCATGCTCGGAGGCCTCCTTTTCAGTTACATCAGTGACTTGAAAGGCAGGAGAATTTCTATGCTGTGAGGGATTGCAACAACAATCATCTGTTCTATTGTCTGTACACTCTTTACGACATTTTATCCCTTCGTGCTAGCCAGATTTGGGGCAGGGATTGGATATGGAGGTGTCTTACCAGTCGGAGTCACTTATCTTACTGAATATCTCCCTGATCATAATAGAGGCTCCTATCTTCTAACAATGGAAATTTTTAGATCGTTTGGAGGCCTTGTTTGTATTTTTGTCGCATTTATTTCAGAAAACAGCTGGAGGTTCTTTGTCTTGGCTCCAGTGGTTGTTCTCTCCGTAAATATGATTATCATCTTCTTTTTCCTCCCAGAGAGTTCCAGATATCTTCTCTTTCGAGGAAAAACAGACAGAGTAGTTGAATTACTTCAAGATATGTGAGAACAAAACAGTTGAAATTTCACTGTACAATTTTGCGAAATCGATAATGATGAGAAAAAGAAGATCAAGAACAGGAAGAAGTCTATATGAAACACCTTATTTGTCAGAAAATGGGATATTACCATCCCTCTACTTATGCTCTGGTTCTTCCCTGCCTTTGGAATGGGAGTATTTATCTTCTTGCCTGAAATTATGCTTCAATTAGAGTTCACTATGAATGAAATTTATATACTTAATTCATTCCTGCTTTTACTACCAATGCTGGGGATATTTATCACTACAATCATAATCGACTCGTTCGGAAGAAAGCAACTGATTAGTATAAGCTCTCTAATATCAGGCCTCAGTCTTATGTGCTTTTTGTTATACCCACAAGGAACGAAGAAAATCATAATGTTTTATGTAATCCTTGGTGTTTTCTCGATATTTATGAAGGTTTACAGAAGTGTCACCTATGCTTACACACCTGAGGTATACTCCACTTCGACAAGAACTAGTGCCGTTGGTGTAATGAGCGCTGCTGATAGATTCGCATCAATTATTCAACCAATAATATTTTCAAACCTTGTGTATACATCTTTCAAATTATCCCTGGCTTGCTTTGGAGCATGACTGCTGGTCACATTCTTCTTTTCGTTATTGCTCACCAAGGAGACTTCGAATAAGCCTCTGAAGGAGAGTTTCTTGACTGAAACATCAGACCATGACATTGGAAGGAGTGCTCTTTATACTTCCATGATATCAGATCAATAAACAGAGATATTGAATGGGTCATGTAGTTTAAATTTGATTGCCCTTTCAAGTTGGTCGAGTGCATTCGGGGTTTTGGGGTTTTGGGGTTTTGGGGTTTTGGGGTTTTGGGGTTTTGGGG